TCAACGGACAAGAGCAGTGTACACTTGAGTGCAATGAGCACTTCCTCTGTGGTCCAGAGTCTATGTGAACTTCCTGCAGAGTGCAGGTTCCAACACGAAAACTCTGCGGTAACTGCACGCCACATTTGACTATCACAGTCTAATTGTTACGGCCACTATGGGTCACAACCGGGTTCTTTGATGGTAGACCCAAAATGATAGTATCCGACCCCAAGTCGGTAGTGCGCTTTCAAGAAAGTGGCCATGTAGTGCTTAAAAACAGGGGATGAACAAAACACTGTTCCTTTCCTCAATGTATTAAATATTTTTCCACCGCCGTTAAGTATATATATGTACACCATCACCATAAATAATATATAAAGAACAGATAGGCTATTACTACACCTATGTACAATCTGTCGCTCAGGATATCAAACGTGCTCACGTGCAGAGTTCATCAATCCCCTGTGTTCCATCACTGTCCAGTAGCGTATCCAACCTTACTGGGAAGAACACCGGCTAGTTCACCTGCACGTGAGCCAGCCCACTGACAGTGTCATGACGTGCCTGTACTCCCACGACCGCTCTCCAGCTCCTGGCTGGCAGAGTACCTCAGCCACACGCTGAGCGGGGTCACAATACAGGGGCAGCGATCCCCTGGCAGCAGTCTCTAGCGACCAGCTAGCAGCACTACTCAACAGTCACCTCCCTGTCGTCAGTCTCTCCCCTAAGCCAGTCACTAAGGTACGCCGATCTTTTTCAACACTAAATCGCTAGTAACAAGCACACTGCTCCATCGGCGGCGGCTTACTTTGTCATTTCCAGGACCATGTAGGGAGACTCTGGGCTTCCCAAGATGAACTGCCCTCTCCAGTACCGCCGCCCCCAGACGTCACCTCTGTGGACACAAAAAACGTCATCAATGACCTAGCCGATACTGGAGAACTAGGAAATACCACTAACCCACTGGCGAGTTAACATTGTGCTCTGTAGCACACACTAGGTGGCGCTGGTCTTGAGGCGTCACCTCACCAGAGGTCACTCACAACGACCCCTCTGGCTGACCCAGGCAGGAATCTTTAACCAATTGCAAGCTTTAGATAACCACCACCAGATGGCATTGTCCATATTACGTACGATTCCCGGGCAGTTCGGGTGCGGACTCTTAGATGGCGCTGGAACTGCCACTCTACCCTCTGACAAGGGCGACGAGTACCTAACATTAATTATTTCTTAACTCTGCGGTAAAGACACTCCACATTTGACTATCACTTTAGTCTACTTATCTCTCAAATGGTTTTCGTATCATCCTTTTTTTATGCTACATGTTTTGCCAATATAAGTTTCACATTTGTAATTGTGAAGAATGGTGAGGTAATTGTGAAGAATGGTGAGGTAATTGTGAAGGATGGTGAGGTAATTGTGAAGGATGGTGAGGTAATTGTGAAGGATGGTGAGGTAATTGTGAAGGATGGTGAGATAATTGTGAAGGATGGTGAGGTAATTGTGAAGGATGGTGAGGTAAATGTGAAGGATGGTGAGATAATTGTGAAGGATGGTGAGATAATTGTGAAGGATGGTGAGGTAATTGTGAAGGATGGTGAGGTAAATGTGAAGGATGGTGAGATAATTGTGAAGGATGGTGAGGTAATTGTGAAGGATGGTGAGGTAATTGTGAAGGATGGTGAGGTAATTGTGAAGGATGATGAGATAATTGTGAAGGATGGTGAGGTAATTGTGAAGGATGGTGAGGTAATTGTGAAGGATGGTGAGGTAATTGTGAAGGAAGGATAAATGCGAGTTTTACGACTGTTCACCTGCTCATTCCAGTCACAGTTGTAATGACTTGTATAAATCACTTACGAATTGATTTACTCAATTCGCTGTGCTCAACTCTACCAACTTCCCGCCAAACACACAACCAAACTACGACGTTGCTACAACGTTCGATCAGGGTTTAACACCTAACAATTCTACCAACCAATATAACAAGTTGTAAAACATTCCAATACGTCATAAAAAACGTTATAACAAGATGTAACAACTTTAGTACAAGTTGTAACAAGGGAATCATAGGGATCGTTACGTTAAATGTTTGCTAGGCTCATAGCCCATCCCAGCTGAACACAACCCAACACTTCCTAACGTAGCGATATATTTGTCTTTGACAATCAGAAAGCGAGCTTTGTTGACCCGTCCTGCGTGCGACAGGACCATTCCCTCACACCACAGATGTGTTCATTCAGGACATTTTCTCTCGGATGATCCTGTACCGCAGACACTCTGCTTTCTCCCTAGACTCTCGGCACCCAGATTCACGAAGCAGTTACGCAAGCACTTACGAACGTGTACATCTTTCCTCAATTTCTGACGGCTTTGGTTACATTTATTAAACCGTTTACAAGCATGAAAACTTGCCAATCAACGGTTGTTATTGTTATAAACAGCCTCCTGGTGCTTCGGAGCTCATTAACTGTTTAATAATTGTAAACAAAGCCGCCAAAGATTGAGTAAAGATATACAGGTTCGATGGGGTTGGTGGGTTGATGGGGTTCTGGGAGTTCTTCTACTCCCCAAGCCCGGCCCGAGGCCAGGCTTGACTTGTCAGAGTTTGATCCAGCAGGCTGTTGACAGGTGTTCTGGGACACCGTCCTTGATGGTGTGGTCCAAGTAGGAGAATGTTCAGTCCACACTCACTCGCGCCTTATATCGGGACCACAAAACCCTCATTCCTCGGTATTGGGCCAAATCCGTTACTGCAGCCGTCTATAACCTGTCAAATCCGTCACTGCAGCCGTCCATAACCTGTCAAATCCGTCACTGCAGCCGTCCATAACCTGTCAAATCCGTCACTGCAGCCGTCCATAACCTGTCAAATCCATCACTGCAGCCGTCCATAACCTATCAAATCCGTCACTGCAGCCGTCCATAACCTGTCAAATCCGTCACTGCTGGTGCCGTCCATAACCTGTAAAATCCGTCACTGCTGGTGCCGTCCATAACCTGTCAAATCCGTCACTGCTGGTGCCGTCCATAACCTGTCAAATCCGTCATTGCAGCCGTTCATAACCTGTCAAATCCGTCACTGCAGCCGTCTATAACCTGTCAAATCCGTCACTGCAGTCGTCCATAACCTGTCAAATCCGTCACTGCAGCCGTCCATAACCTGTCAAATCCGTCACTGCAGCCGTTCATAACCTGTCAAATCCGTCACTGCAGCCGTTCATAACCTGTCAAATCCGTCACTGCAGCCGTTCATAACCTGTCAAATCCGTCACTGCAGCCGTTCATAACCTATCAAATCCGTCACTGCAGCCGTCCATAACCTGTCAAATCCGTCACTGCTGGTGCCGTCCATAACCTGTAAAATCCGTCACTGCTGGTGCCGTCCATAACCTGTCAAATCCGTCACTGCTGGTGCCGTCCATAACC